ACAAAGGGTTCTGGTCAAATTCCAATTCCTCAAAGACCTAGCGTGCAACCCCACTCTCACTTACCTAGTGGCAAATCCAATTCAGTGGATGCTCTACACATGGAAGAGCCCCTGAACACTACTGTGAGTATCTGGGGCAGTGTACAGCATGAATATGGACTAAGCACATGAACATGTCACACCAACGGGACCAGGTATGCTGCAAGAGGAGGCTACAGTGCCCTGCTTCCATCCATCACCAAGGAATTAGAAGAAACTAAGTACAGAGGCAAAATGGAAAAGACACCTATGGATAGGTTTTCAAAAGAGCTCAAGGCAAAGTTTTCAAGTGCTCAGCCCTCATGATTAAAGGCCCAAAGAGCTCAGTGCTGCTTGACGCACAGCACTGGAACAGACCTCCTGGCTCATGGACTTCAGCTCCTTACTATCAACAGGCAACTTCATCATTGACTCCTCACCACTTATTTTGATATCTACATGGAAGTCAAATTCTTTGGAGAATCACCTCACCACAGTAAAGCATCTCTCTTGCTTTCAGTTAATGCCTGAATGTGGGGGTTGATAATCCTTGTCACAAAGACCTCAGATAGTGCAACTGCAGGAGTGATGCTTCACTGCTGTTTTCCATTTGCACAGGTATACCCTGTAATCAAAATTACTCCTCTGCAATGGGCTGTGAGAAGGTGAATACATTAGGCCAGGGGCACACAATTATTTTGGGTGGAGGGCTGCTTACTGAGTTTTAGCAAGCCATCGAGGGTCACATGACAGCAACCAGGGGCAGATAAATATTAAATTTTCTAAGTTTTTTAGGGGCCCCACAGGCCAGATAGAATGGCCTGGCAAGTTGCATTTGGCCCATGGGCCGCATTTTGCCCACCACTGCATTACGCCATCTAGTAACTACAAAATACAACTTTGCATCACTGCTTAATTGACACTTCTCCTGATGAGTCGAAGAGACACAACTGTGTAGACTTTTGCAAGCTAAAGGCTTAATCCAGGAAAGCTCTGGATGCAGGTACTTACTTAGCTTTCAGCACATGAGGTACTGTACTGCTATTTATTGTTTGCATAGGTGCTTTGCTAGATCAGAGCCAAAGTGCTCAGTACCTTGGAGAATTCAACCCTGAGACCTTCTCTTGGCTCAGAGCCTCAGTTTTAGACAGGAGCAGCTGAAATCTATTCCCACTCTTACTTGCAGAATCTAGCCAGGTCTGCAAGAACAAGCCATCCCCTCCAACACAAAGGGAAACATTGCAGGAACTAATGCTTACCAGTCCCTAAAAAGGAACTCACAGTGCCTTGTTACAAAATGGCTACTTTAGGGCTTCAGGGCATGACTTGGCCATATTTAAAGGGACAGGCCCAAAAGGCATGCTGGAAAAATAATTCTGTAATGTAATTCAAACTAAGAAGACTTAATAGAGACTATGCAGACTCAAAGGAAGGTGGCACTTCTGTCTGAGGAAGGCTATCACCAGATCAAAGATGCATACCCTGGTGACAACTGGCAAGTTCCTAAGTGAACCCAGAGCTGTGGTAATGTAGATTAAAATAAACCCATATGGCAGTAAGCTTTTGCTATGGTAAATTATTGCTGCATGTTGCTGTGTGGTCCTGGGCCTATGACTTAGTCCCAATCCTACCATAGGTTAGAGCGAAGACTGTGGTCAAGACAATGTTCTGCCCTGCACCATTATGTCTCTCTTACTTACATCCTTTGCAAAGGGCCTTCAGTCCTACAGATAAAAGTCATGTTGCTAGGTGTTCCTTTATCACATCTGGATGCTGGACAGGACAATGGGGTCAGAGCTAAGGTTGTTTGTGAAACTCAATTAAATGTTTCTGATTTTTTCCATTGTATATAACTGGCACAACTACTGTGTACAATGTCACACTGCACTTTAAATGCAGTTTAAATTGTATGCTACTCCACAGGGAATGTTCTGATGTGGCGTATGGTTTTCTACTTTCCATCCCTTTATAAGGTGTCCCTTATGAATTCCATTGGAACCACTAGTATTATTTTACCTGATGAACTGCCTCGAATGTCCACTAGAGGTCTTTGCTGTACAAGAAAACAAATGTCTATTGGTAGAGTTAAGAATTCTTGTAGATGGTATCTTCTGCTGGACCCACTGCACAGTTGAGATACCCCAAAGCTTGCTTACGTCTATCATACTACACTTCCCCAGACCTTTGGGAAAGAAGCAGACACAGAAAAGTTAATATCTCAAGGTGCTTTTGGATACACCAGGAAATATTTCTCATGCCTGGAGGGCAAGTCTTCCCATGCAAGGATTACTAGGGAAGAAGGAACAGAATAGGCTCCCCAAACAAGAACATAGGATGGGAGTCATAGAAGTTTTTAGAAAAAATATGTCCATCTCAGGCAAATTGTTAGGCCGGTCTAATGTAATAAACCTCTATTATTTGAGCATTTAGCACCTAAGTTCCAAGATGAAAAATAAAACAATTACAGCAGAGGAGGTAGAAAGCAGGTGATTCACCCAAGGAGACAGCACAGAAGATCTCAAAGGAAAAAACTGACGAACTCAGGAACCTGAGCTATTCCTAGCAAAGGACAAGACAGGTTTGTCTGTACCTACCTCAGTATCCTGCCTCTGGCAGTGACCAAGCCCTTGTAAACAAAGGGAACAGAAAACCCACCAGATGCCTGGCCTGTTGTGCTGTACTATACCAGAGAAGGCAAAATTTCTTCCAGATCCCAGATGGTGAGATTGATTAATGTCCTGAAGCATGTGGATTGTCTGCCCTCTCTAGTATTTACAAGCACTACCTTTCATATAAATCCTTGGCTTTTGGAGAGCTCCATTATTGGATTTGCTTTAGCAACTTGCAGTGACAGCATGGCCCAGGTTAGCTCCTCACTACATGGAATTGACCATTAATGTGTCATACTGGAGTATCTCTGCCTAGGGCCCACTCCAGTTCTTTGATTGGGGAGCAGGCAAATTAGTGAATGCCACTGCCATGTGACATGTCCTCATCTGTAGCATTTAATTTAAGAGACCCCCAGCAACATCAAAGCTTCAGCAGCATTGCCACAAAGGCTTTGTTTTTCTCTTTCTGAATCATTAGCAGCCCAGTTCTGGCATGACCTGTGCCCCAGTGGCCTCAGGAAACCTAATCTAATTTACAAGCCTTCTGTGCACAGCTAACATGCCAGCTGGAGTCTGGAGGGGCAGCAAGGGCATTTTCACACATGGGATGAGCCAGAAGCTATATAAGCTGCTCTGTTCTATCTAGTAGGGGTCAGTGTGGTAATGAGTTCAAAGTGGTGCATCTCTGAGGAAGATTTGACTCCAAACCAGGGACAGAAGCTATAATCCAGGGCCATTTTACAGGAGAGCCAGCTCTGCCCTCAGGTGTAGGTGATACTGCTTCTCTAGCTGGATGGATGCAGCTAAGACACATCAGCACAGTCCAAATGAAAAAGATTATTGCTAAAGAGCTTGCTCTTTCAGTGAGGCAGCAGACTGGCACGCTCCTGGGTGGGATTGTTTCCTTTACTATGCAGGACTGGAAATTAAAAGAAGCTGTGTGATTAGTTACTGCATCATACACAGGGATAAACTTTCCCTATCTGCACAGCATGGAGCTGACCCTGCTTCAGATGCAGATGCATTATGATGAAAGATGTTCTCGTGACACAATGCAGGAAACTCACAGAAGAATGCAAACTTCTCTCCTAAAATTGATCTTTTTTGGCTTCCATCGCCACAAAACTTGTACACTCCCATCTTTACCAGGTTTTCCTGAGTGCCTCCCTCTGCAGGGTAGGGAGGTGGGATTACACCCATTTTACAGAAGGGGAACTGAGCTACTGAGAGATTAAGTGACTTTCCCAAGGGCACAAATAAAGTGTGGGTCTGAGTAGGGAAACTGAACCTGGGCCTTTCAAGGCTCAGACTTCTGTCCTAAGCACTAGATCAGAGGTGTCAGCCATACAGCCTATGGGGCTCTCAGAGGAGCTAGGATTTCAGGGACAGGTTGAGTAGGGGGTGGGGTTTGCTGCAGAGTGTAAGGTCCAGTTGGGGGTGGCCTTTAGTGGCAAAGGGCAAAGTGAAAGTTGTGATGACACAATAAAGCTTGCCCCACCACTGTTTGATCTGCCACTGCTTGGCTCACTGCTGCTTGCACTGCTGTGGCTGCTTGGCCCACCACTGCTCACACCAGCACTGCTGCTTACTCTACCAGCACTTACCCTGCCACTTCTGAGTCCAGATCCAACCCAGAGCACGGGGTGAGGTGGACACTCCTGCACTTGGCCATCCTTCCTACTTAACCAGCGAAGGCAAGAGAATTTCCCTGTGTTGGGATAACAGGTATATTATGTCCCATTTCCAGGGATAGTAGCATTTTCTTGGACAACAGCTGGTTCCAAGCAACTAATGGGGATTTCAGTACTACTCATGATTTTACTGAACAGATTGATGCTCTTGACACTGCTTTTCATGTGCAGTCTCACTAGCATTTAGAAAATGATCAAACAGTGAAAAGAAGTGCTTTTGTGCTGAGATTAACAGGCCCAAGTTAACAGCTGGAGTAAGAGGATGCAATTCCATGAAAGCCAGAGGACGTTCACTTCCTTTGGGCCAGTCCAAATTCTGTCTAGGTAGCCCCTAGACAACTTAAAGTGGATTTGCTCAGGCAAATGCCTGCTGCAACCAGAGACTGCCAGAAGCAGGACCCTTCCTCCAGTCCAGCCCCAAATGACAGTGTCTTGGCAAAGTTGGGTCTTTAATCACTTCAGGTGCTGATCTTGTAAGACATGGGCCATGGTTCATTTGGGTTGGTGTCACAGGACAGCAGTGCTCCACAGACAAGTGCCAGCACATATACAACAGAGGCAGCAAGCTTGGTTAAGAATGGGAACAGCTGATCACATAATAAGTAACTAATGACAACAGGCTGGGCAGCCCCGAGCTGCAGGAGGAAGTGGTAATTTTCCTTTCAGAATCATACTACTCACTCCTCCAAAGAGGCCACCACTTCCCTCTGCTGCCATCTTCTAGAAGCAACGCAGAAGCTGAAGTTCATGCTACAGTCCTGGGCCAGAATCTGGTATGACATCTCAGCACAGCTCTTAAAGAATGAGAGGGGACAAGAGGTGCTACTTCAGCTTGTTCTCCGGCACCTCTGCGCTCTCTGTAGCACTCTTTCAGCAGGTAAGTTCTACGTTCACTTCAACTTGCAAACAGAGATATCAAAGGGGAAATCCTTGGGTCTGAAGGATCAAACCATTTGTGTCAGACACTCCACCCCCACCAAGGAAAAGAGTTCTTCTCTCCTTTTCCTTTACCCCTGGCAGGCAGGCAGGTGTGCATGAACTCTCTCTCTCTCACACACACACAGTCTCTCTCTCTTTCTCTGTCTCACACACATGCACCATTCAGAAGCTCCTGGGAATGTTTAAGCAAAATTACAGAGCTGCCAGAGTCCCAAGTAGTCTGACATTCCCCTCCCCTCTCCAACAACAAAAAACTCCTGGAGAAAGTAAAGCAAGCACTCTCTTTGGCAGAGCACAGGGGAATTTCTCATAGGTAGTCCTACTGACCAACTTAGCACTGTTAGGAAAGCACCAGACAAGCTCAGTTCCCACATCCTAGTTCTGCAGGCTTCCATCTAACCAATCAGGATTGGAGGAGTATTAGGCAGCTACCAGAAAATGTTCTCACCAGCTGAAAAGCCAAAGACCTGCTGATGTCAGTTCTGCCACTGGCTTGATTCCCTGCTTTGAAAGTAGCCATGGGAAACAGGAAATGGGGATCTGACCACCAGCTCAGGCAAGGAAAATAACAGACAACAAAAAAGACCTGTAACCACAATAACATCTTCTCTTCCCTGATAGGGAATGACCAGTGCACCTCACAGGTCTTTAGCTAAAACATGCTGGCCATTTGCACAGCTGACATCCACACCTCCCGTCCTCCCCATTTGCCTCTTAAACCCTCTGCTCTTGGCACCTTCTTTACCACCTTTCCAACAAGATGTAAAACCACATGGTCCTGTGTGCTGCAGTGTGGCAGGATTCATGACCCAGCAGGGCTTTTTGGCTGACGGTAAGAGTTAGACGCTTGGAAAAACCCTGCTGAGTAAATTCTGCCAACACAATGTGGCAGGCACAAAGTTACTAACTGCATCAAGATATAAGAGAGGTAGGATTGACTGTGCTCCCAGGAAACTAGGGCAGAAACAAGGACATCCTGAAGGAAACCCTTGGAATAGGTAGGTTTGAGAAAACCCAGATTAGTATCTGGATCACAGATACTGCCAGCCACAGGAAGGGGATCCCTTTAACATTGTTCAGCATATGTGGATGTCCTTTAGTAACATTCACATTTGCCTACATTTCCCCCCTTACTCATTGCTGGCCTCTGTAAGATGTGTATTTTTCTTCCCTGCTTGGATGCATGAGTGGCAGCACCTGTTCCAGGAAAGATCCTGCAGAGGGCAGCAGTGTGTGCCTAAAAAGGCTGAAGGTGAGCCTGCTAGGAAAGGTGGGGATCTCAAACCAAGAACGCCACAGAAGGCAGGGAGACAGGACTCCTTTTCTGCATAGATGAACAGGGGCTCTGTAATTCCTTAAAAATACAGACCTCAGTGGAGGGCTAGGGTAGGGTCTGGAGGATCAAACCAAATAGCAACGACAGTCACCAAAATAACTAGACCTGCCACCTTTAAATTGCCTGTGCCCTTGTCCCCTTCTAAGGAGGCACTCAAGGGTTTGGGAGTTTGGTCAGAGCCTCAACCCACTCCTGAAGAGCAGGGGTAAGAGAGCGGTCAGTGAAACAGAACAAGAGCCAGAGCTATGAGCAGTCCCGTGTCCTGTTCGGGTCGTGCTGCTCCCATTCAGGAAGCCTGGGGAGCTCTGTTATTACGGCTGTTAGTTCTGGCTTGGCACTAACAATACAGAGAGCTCAATCCTCTGTTTAGCCAAAGGACAGGTACAGCAAGAGCAGCAGCCACACGTGCTTTACTGCCCCTATGGCAGCAACACACCTCAACCCTGACTGACAGAGATCAGTTTTTAGAGTGGGAAGTTATTTCGGTCTCTGGGATCTTTCAGCATGACTACCTGCTGAGAAGCCAGGGCTCCAGCTTGTGCTATGTGTGGGTGTTATGCCAGAAGGATGCCTGTCTTCTGATATGGGTGAAGACCCCAGCTCTATCCTGCAGGACACCAAACAACTTTAATAGGATTTGGATTCCTTAGCGCCAGCATTGGCCCAGGTCATTAGCGCCAGAAGCAGCTAATGACCTGGGCCAATGCTGAACAGTCTCTACCCCATTTACAACCCACTCAGCCATCAAGATCCCCCTAGGGATTGTTCATTTCAAGCATGTCCCGCCAGAAGGTGGATCATCTGGCCTCTGTCTCTTTCACTGCAGCCCATTTGGGTGCCAAAAGGTTCAGGCTGAGGGCAGCTCCATAAGGGGGTTGCTGTATACATCTATCCGAGCATGAAGCGAGATGTGAATGCTCAAGACACGTGGAAGATGCATGCGACTACAGAGCCGTGTTCAGGTGTTGGCTGCTCTCCATGGCCTCCTGAGAACTCTGCTCCCATTGTCATGCCATCCGCCCTCGGCTCTGCCGCTAGGGATCAGGTGCACAGACACAGGCCAAATTGCCCATTCCTGACTGGAGCACCTAGGAGCTTGCCTCTTATGTAGTCAGAGTCACAGGGGGATTTGTCTGCACCATCTGGATTCCTGCCTTGTGGCTCCATTTGTGCTCCCTGCCTACCACCCTCCCCCTCCCCGCCCCACAAAGTAAAAACATTCACAGGAGAAGCCATCTCATCCTCTGCCTCTGCCCCCCTCCCCCTTGCTGCCTGCAATAGGTTCACAGAGGACAGGCACAAGGGGAGGGCACAGTATTCCAGCTCAGCTTCACCCACTAAGAAACAAATCCAGAGTCTTTTCCATGAGGGGTCAAAAGTCCAGTTCTGGCTCCCCTGCTGCTGTTTCCTGGTGTGATTCAAGCAGTGGCCAGCCCCCAGCTCTAGGGCACAAATCCACACTATGTAAATACATGCTTCTGAGACAGTCACAGGGAAACCTTTAAATGAGCCTCTTTGCATTTCAAATGAGCCTGGGATGTGTCCATTGGTGGACAGGAGGAAGATAGCGGCTCTGCACAAGGCTGGCTGACATCTGCCCTCTCACCCCCAGGTCACATGCAGATTCTATGTAATGATTGCAACGGGGGCAGGATGGCCCTGAATTACTCCTAGTTTTGCTGGCTGCAGGTCTTCTGAAATCAAGGGCATGGGTCTGGGAGATCAGGAACCTGTTTTAGAAATAGTACCAGCTTGAAGGTCGAGTTCATCCACCCCACAGTGGTGAGGCCCTTAAAGTTCAGCACCCAGGAATGCTCAGCAGATACTTCTTCTCATGTAAGAGCTGGAAATGTGACACAAACACACTGATTTCAAAGCGTTTGGCTCAGGTGAGTAAGTTGTCTCCTCGCTGTCATGCACACACGCTGCAAAGGGATTCACTTACATCAGTGGTCACCAACCAGTGGATCTTAATTCACCGGTAGATCTCAGAGCCTTTTGCGGTAGATCTTGAAGCCTATTGCAGTTGATCCAAGGCTGGGGTGGGGGGGCTGAGTGCCTGCATGCATGCACGCATGTGCACCAGTCCAGCAGGTCAGTCCATGAGGGAGAGAAGGGGCAGGGGCTAGATTGAGGCCCCCGTGGTGAGGGACAGTGCTGCAGAGGCAGGAGCAGGGGTAAGTTGAGTGGGGCCCCAGCCAGGTGGGACTTACCTGTTGGAGAGGCGCGCCCCCAAATATTTTTTTCTCCCTCTGCCTCAGTCTGCCCCCCCTTCCCTTCCCACAGACTTACCTGCTAGGCAGGGGGGAAGAGGGGGTGGTGGCAGCCCATGGTAGATCTTGGGGTGCTTTTAAATGCCATAGGTGATCTCCTACTTAAAAAGGTTGGAAACCACTGACTTACATTGATACGGCAGGGGTGGGAACAGAGCCCAGATCCCTGCTCCATGCTAAGTCCCCTGGATCACTGATGTCCCCACTAACCCGAGTGTTTGACTGCTCACATCCCTTTCACAGGAAGGCTACGAGGAGATTAAGTGGCCTGGTGTCCCCCAGCCTTTCAGTGGGTGACTTTTTCACCTCATTATCTATCAGGGCTATTTAATTTTACAGCTCTTTCCTGCCTGGATCTGCCATTCACTGTCCTGCTCCCTCCCCCTGCACATCCTGGCTAGTACCTTCAGTTTTGATGTAACCTCTGCCCTACATGACAATGTCTTCTGGTATTCTCCCTGCACTAATCCAGCGCTAATCTCTCTTTTGCCACAGTTCTTCGAATCAAGGCCAGACAAGCGCTGGCTGCCTGTTGATCCAGGACAACATGTCACAGTATCTCAAACCAAATGGATATATAGAAGGGAAGATATCCACTGCCCACACACACCTCAGCTGTACTTCATGTGACAAGGCTGGGGAGCAACACTCACAACACTTGGTAGACAAGACTGTGAACTCTTGCGGTGGTGCGCTCAGAGCTGTAAGCGAGGCTGTCACTGCCAAAAAGAATGCGTTTACAGTGAGATAAGTGACACACAGGAGCCACTTTGCAGTGAGTGCATGACTGGCTTACACTGCATTGCAGCTGAGGGAGCTCCAGCATGGCAAGGAGCGGAGTGTCGGCCTACACAAGAACAACAATCAAGTGCAGTAGCTATTTTTATCAAGTTTAGTCACTGCACTGGTCTGTTCCCCAAGCCAAGATCACTTTAAATGGCATGGTGTAGTAGAGGGTGGAGACCTGTCCCATACACTGAAGACAGGACACCTTACAATAGTCTACTATAGCCTCCCAATGGGAGGATCTCAGCTACACACCTATTTTATTGAAATGGGGGATTTCTCCCCAGCTTGTTCCCCTGGCCTTTGGGCTGAGAGCAAACAAGGCTTGGGGGAATCCAAACTCCAAGACCTCTGGGCTTGGGGCCTGCATGTAGGATGCCTGCTATGGATTTGGGAGTATCTGAAACCCCAGGCAGAAGAGTTGTGGAAGGAGGATACTTGCTGGTGGTAGTACTTGAATGACTGAGCTCTGATCAGTCAACAGAATTCAGAATTGATTTGGCTAATTTGGCTTGAGACAAAATAATTATTTTTTAAAATCTCTATTAGGCCTTTGCAGCAGAAAAGCGGAGGCACATTAGCTCTATGCTGCGAGAACCGTGATGTTTGCTGGCCAGACAAAGCCAAGAATAGGAACCCTGGTTCGAATGCATTCTAAGATGTCATAGCTTTGCCCCACGGCATAAAATGCTCTGAAGCTCTTCTTTGTGTTCAGGGAGGTTCTGCCTTTGAAGGATAAGGGGCATGAGACAGAGGAGGAGAGTAGCTTTAAAGTTCAGATGGGGGTAATTCTCTCCTAAAAGCGTGGGCAAAGCCAGTCTGGAGGTGATTCAGGAGGAAGGGTCATGGCTTGGTTACAGAGATGCTCACTGATCACGGGGAAAGGTCTTTGAATGATGAGAGATATTGCCACCTCCTCTCCATGGCAATGTGTGAGAGGCAAAAGGGGCACAGGCAAATGTGAGGCGTGGAGCTTGAGGAAGCGAAGGCAAATAGTGCAAAAGAAACGATTTTGTGAATATCCCCTAGCATTTTTAATCAAGTCCCTTCAGATGGTCTGTATGCCTCTGTGATGTCTGCTTTCCAGGAATGTAAAAGCTGTGGGGCAGGGCAGTCACCCACTGCAGAAACTTAAGCCAAGGGATCAGGATATTTGTAGGCATGAGCATTTGCAACTGGGATCGGAGTGCCAGAACGATGCTCATCCTATCTGGAACACAAGCCTGTGAGTCCACTCAAAAAATCAAGTATTTCACAATGAATTAATGCAATAAATTCATGGCCACACCCCCAAAGAGGATGGCAAGATACAAGACAGCCTTCAGGCTAGCGCCAGAAGCAGCTAATGGAAATGAACTTTAGCCAGTGCCACATAACTGCAAGGAGGAGAGTGCTGGCAGGCGTCCAACAGCTCATTCCAAAGGGGCAAGATGGCGCCGCAGTGCTATCCCCTCTAGGTGTGGGCTTGGTGCCGCACACAAGCTCAGCGGAACCAGGCAGGGCTTCCCAGGAGATGGACTGGCAGGGAGCCATGCAGGAAAACCCAGGTAATAGTGCCAGTAATTCAGTAGATGGCACTTTTCCTTCTGAGTCACAGCTGATCCCTGGGGCAAGGAGGGGGGAAGGGACATTGGAGAGGGAGCATTGCTTTGGTGGAGGTGCTGCAGATGCAGCTCTGACTCCTGCAGGGATAATGCTTATAAAGGGTTATGGGGCCCCAGCCCTTTTCACAACAGCAGAGGTGTTAGGTCCTCATTTCCACGCATGCAGACCCCCCACATTCTAACCAAGAGCCAGCATGAGTGATTTATATGTCTGGAGATACCCCTTTCCCCCCCTGCAGTCTCAATGGGATGCAATATCCTTCTTTACCTTCTGTCCTCAACAGCTGAATGGCTGCTGCCTTCCACCCTAGAGGCGGACACACTTCACTGACACTGAACAGATTCCTGCTTGCAGTCTGGGACATGGTTCAGGATGACAACTTAGCTGGGGAAGTTTATCCTTCTCTCCCTTGTTCTGCACGTTCTCCAAGCACTGGGGCAGAGCATACTGGTGAGCCCCATCAGAGGCTGATGGCAAGCAGAACAGCTGCTAGGGAAAGCACAAGCGGGGGCAAACAATCAGTCAATAGCCAGGAGGTTTATAGAGCAGTGACCTCAAGGGGTTGGATCTTTGGCCCTGGACAGTCTGGCCGGTTATGCAAAAAGCCAAAGGTCACATAGGAAGGGAAAGATATCCCAGCTTCCTTTGCAAATGTCTGGGAGTTGAAAAGGAACCAGAGAGGAGTTCCAAACCCAAGAGACTGACAGAGTCTGACCTGAAAGATATGAGGGGGAAGAGGAAAAGAGGAGAAACAGGACAGGGATGAAGCCACAGACAGACAAACAGAGAAACAGAGAAAACACTGTCTAAATTTTACTCTTTGAGGGCTCATACTCAGGCCAAGGCAGCTAGTGGCTGGTAATAACTACCACAGGACACTGGTGCTCTGTCCTATGTGAAATGAATGGTACTCTGGCCAGTGCCTAGTGGACAGGTGTCCACACTACACTACAGTTGGCACTAACTGGCTACCTGGTTGACATGCTCAGCAGACAGGGTTACACAATGAAGCTGACCCCCATCCCCCATCCTACCCCCCCATCCCCCGCAACCACTTCCATCCAGGCCAGAAGTAAGGCACATTGATGGGGAAGCTGCTGCCATCCATGCTATAAATTGACCTAGAGAAAAAGGAATCATAGGGGACTTTCCACCCAGCTGAGTCCATCAGCAGCAATTTCACTGGGGTGGCTGAGACTTTCAATGAAGGATGGCTGTTCTCTTGAGGAAGTTGCCCTGGCTAATTCACACTGCAGACAGCCCATGGGTGTGACAGGGCCTGGCCACTCTGGTCTACCTGGAACCACTGTCTGCCAGGCCCCGCTGCACCCACCTCTGTATGCATAGAGTGAGAGGCTCCAGCAGCCCAGCCCAAGCCAGGAGCTGGAGCTTGGCTCTGCATGAGGCCAGCCTGTGGTTTGACTCTCAGCCACAAGGAAAAATAAATGTCCCGCTCCTCCTCCTCCTGCTGCTAGACCCTTCCTTCCTTCCCTGCCTCCCTCCCTTCCCGTGGGAGTCACTCTGCTGTGCCTTCCTGCGGATGCAGCTCCTCCCAGCTTCTCTGCCGCCAAGGGCGCCTGGGGTCAAATATTCCCTTTCTGAACAAACAGTATGATTGGGTGGGAGGAGGCGGGGGAGAGGGAGCAGAGAGCAGCTCTTCAGCACTGTGCAAACCAGACCTCAGCCTCCAGGGCACAGAGCAGCCTGGAGAAGGGCCCTGCACTTTGCCACACACCTGAGCACAGGGGTCAGCATCCACCTCCTCAGGGGCTTCAGATTTACCGCAGGCAGTAGCCTGCAGAGCTCAGCCCTTTCAGCACTGGGACAGGGGCTGCAGGGAGGGCTAACAGCATGGCATCAGCCAAAGGATCCTGCTGTGCGTTCGCTTAATTGCTTTCTCTCTGTATTCCAGGCTGATCTCACTGCAGTAAGTGGGGGTCACCGGAGAGACAG